AAGCTAAAGCTGAAATAATGGTCAAAGGAGGAGACGGCAGCGCTCAGGACATTTATTATCCCTCAAAGAAGACAAAGTGGGAAGTACGGGCATTTTTTGGATATCTGAAGAATGCAGAGGGACGGTTGATAGAAGACGGCTATCCTGTTTGCAGCACGAGCAGAAAAAGTGTCTGTGAAAGGCAGCAACGCTTCAAATCTCATGACACATCTGCGTGACCATCACCCACAACTCTACAGTCAACGCAAGGCAAGCTAACGTTAGCGTTTTAGCTAAAATGCGTGATCCGACGATTTGGGTTGAGGGAGAAAGCAACGAGTCGCTATATAAAGCAGCCGCAGCGCCGCTACCTGCATATAAACCGTGTCGCGGACACCCCCATGTTGAAATGACGCTATGCATAACGGGACTCCCAGGGGCAGATAAGAGTTGGTCTCTCTCCGAGAATAATTATGAATTTAACAATGATTACTGCCTGATGACATTTTCCCACATTTGCAAAGCTCACTGGAAGGACACAAACCGAGGACAATATTTTCCTGATATAGAGTTTATTACTCAAGTAAGGGTAAAAAAAAAGTATCTGATTAGAAGGCTACTTGAGTACTGAGTATCATCTGAACTAATATTTTTAAAATGATGACATCAGACAAAAAATAAGAAGCTGTGGGCAAATATTGGTATTTTAAAGACTAAAGGGAAAAAATGTAAATAAACAACATAATTACAAAATAACACATTTTAGGCAAAATTTAGACACAAACTCAGGACAATATTTTCCTGATATACAGGGTTTATGTAGTTGTCTGAAAATGTAATGCGTTAAAAAAAATACCGCGATAACACCGAAAACTGTGGTAATTTTGGTCACAATAACCGTGAGGTTAAATTTTCACACCGTGACAACCCTAGTCCAGATCCGAGAGATCAGGTCGGGATGAAGACGCCACTCTGAGTGACATGGACCCCCTCTGGACATGATATCCGCACTCACATTCAGGATTCCTGGAATGTAGACAGCTCTGATTGACAGGAGGTAGACATGAGCCCAGCAGAGCAACTTCCTGGCCACGTTCAGGAGTGAGACTGAGCAAGTCCCGCCCTGGCGATTTAAGTAAGCCACGGCGACTTGGTTGTCTGTGTGAATCAGTACATGTTGGCCCCGGAGGAGGGGGGCAAAATGTAATATCACATTCTGCACCGACATGAGTTCCAGAATGTTTATGTGGGCATCCGTGTGGGGGGACCACCAATTGCCCACAGAATGGGATAAGCTCAACTCCTCCTCAAGGGCGGAGGCTTGAGGTGCTGATGTCAGTTTTGTCTCCACAATCCCCGAGAACGGGGGTGGGCGGCACTGAAACTGCAGCTTGTTGCCGTTGCAAATGATGTCCCAAATCCATTTGTTCATGTGACACACGCGGCTTCAGTCTTGGGCGCGTTCTGACAGTGGGCGCATGCCCAGTGTCTGGGCCTGCATTGCGTCCAAAATCCAGGTTCGGGCCCCTGCCGCCGTCGCTTGACCCGAAAGGATATCGGGGGGCAACCCTTGGGGTGCCGGTGGGGAAAGGACAGGCTGCTAATTTGCAGTGCAGTAGAAGCCGAGCTCCCTGAGGATGGAGGCGTGTGGGCATGAGTCATGACAGCGTGTGACTGTGATGCTGAGCGAGATTCATTAGGATGAACGGGTCACTTGTGCTGCACCGGCGAGTGCGGGGTACACTGCCGCGCGTCAGCCGCATGCAAAAATAGCCCAGAGTGCGAGCGCGGGAAAGGCTCCAAAGCGCGCGCCGAGGGGAGAAAATCAGGAGTGACAGCTCGTTTTGGTGGCTGAAGTGAATGTAAAGAAGCCTCATCATGCTGGTTTACATCACATACAACGGGGAGAACGCTCCGTTTGAAGGCAGAGCGGGCGCCCGCTGAGCTGACTGAGTTGCTGTGTAATGACACGGTCCTCCTCACTGGATGGCCCAAGCGTCTGTACGGAGTAAGTGGGGCGGAGGAGACCGGTAATGACTCAACCCTAACCCGTGACAGGTGTTTGGAGGAAGGAGTTGGGCTTGGTGTGGGAAACGTGTGGAAAAACAGCAGACTGCTTATTCGAGCTGGCCGTAGAGGGCTGTGACAGGATATAGCTCTTTAAACGGTTTAAATGTTTTATTTCAAAACAGGGTTTGTCACAAACACCATGAAATCACACACATTTCCCCCAAGAAGTAATTTCCTTGGGTTCTTCTTGTGCACATTGTGGGGACTGCCAGGTCCAGGTTGGGGCAAGAGGTTGGTTCGCTCTGGCACGTTGAGCCGGTGGGTGGCGAGCCAGGGGTTCCGGAGTCGCTGCTAGTGGCTGGCTCTGCGCCAGTCTGGGGCCGGGCTGATGGCTGCAGCATCTCTTTGGTCCACGATAGTCCTCCCAGGTTCTGGGGAGGTACGGGGCTGACGACTGGACCGAGGCCGAACCAGGCTGCGAACAGTGGCGGAAAGGTCAGCTGATCTCTGAGCCCTCTCAACGGCATCGTGGAAGTGGGACCCAAACAGCACGTCCGAGCTGATTGGTCCCTCCTGCATGTCTTTGTACAGCTGGTCCAGGATGGATGGGAGGGCACCGAGCCATAGGAGCCGATGGATCAAAGTCTGCCAGGCGGAGATGCGGGCTGCACAGTCCAGATTGGTGGCACACAGATTTAAAATGGTGTCAGCCGATTTGCAGATGAGGTTCTTAGGCTCATCAGGCAGGTCACACGTCTACGTCGACTTGGAGATTCCGTAGGCGATCAGGGCAATGTTGTTCGAAGCTGCGCTGATCTGTGCTGCACACTGAAGAGAGTGGTTAGCGAACCGAGCCAGATGCTGCTCGTTCTTGGCGGCAGGAACCACCCGCCGGCCCACCATCTTGACCTTGGCTCTGAGCAGAGAAGGCAAATTGGGCTCCAAGGGTGGGACAACCGGGAAGCCATGCTCGTAAAGGTGCTCCACCCTGGTGATTGAAGTGTAAGACTAGACAGGAGCCCTGAGCCGGGCGGGCTCCGCCTTTGAGCTGTTCCAGTAGTCCATCGCTGCCGGGAACTGAGGAAAAACTGGGTCAGGGCAGTGGGTTGGGTTCGCGCCAAACTGGCGTCGTCCGACTTAGGAGGGGCGGGAGTGGGGACGGTTAGCCCTTTGTAGACTGCCGCCACTGAAATAATGGCAGGCAGCTCGTGGAGCAGTGCTCGAATGGCAGGTAGCGGTGCGGGGATAGCCAGGAGGACTGGGTTCGGGTCCCATTCGGGAGCCCGGTGGTCCGCAGCCTCTGGGGATATATACGAGGATCCTGCGCAGCTGAGCCGCTCCGTGTCAGAACAGCCAGCTAGAGCAGAATCAGACAGGTCCTGACGAGCGTCAAAAATGTCCATGACCTCTTCCAGTGGGACAGTGTCGGCCGCTGAGAACATCTCCTCGGAGATGGCGGTGAAATAGTCCACACGTCGTAGCTTCTCGACCGCCGGGAGAAGCTCGCAGAAGTGGCACGTGGCTTGAGGTGTAAGGGCGAGGCCGGCGTGTTTGGGGCTGAGGCAGATGTCGCATCTGGCGTGGAGGTCACCGGGCATGATATAGGCCGCGTTGCAGGACTGGCATAGGCGAATAGCTTCGCTCGTCTTGATTGTCGTTCTTCTAGGTTAGCTCTAGTGGTCAGGTCTGTTGAAGAAGTGAAAGGAGATGATCCTTGGTCCTCGCACCTCTTTACAGGACCAGGGCCAACTGATAGGCGGGCATACATTCAAGTTCTTTAGTCATTGGTCGTTGTCAAGGACTAACTCCCAATAGGCGAGGTTTAAAGGGCGGAGCCATACGACATAGAACTCCGTTGTCCCCAAATAATTAAAAAGCAGGATGCCAAATGCAAAGTTTAGAGCAGCACATTTACCCAGAGGCTCTCAGATTGAGCAAACTTGTGAGAATACATGTAATGGGCTCGACACATGGGAGGCGACATCGCCTCTCCTCCATTCATTTTCAATGAGACATGCGCGACAAAGCGATAATCGTGGGTCTCCCTCCTACCAAGCGAAACGCAAAAAACGTGCGTGTGAAAGTTTGCACTCGTGCACGTGTCGTGCACGTGCGACCCATCGACGCGATCCCAGAAAGTTGAAACATTTTCAACTTTTCATCGCTGTCGCTCGGGCGAGGACCAATCAACGGAGGTTTCATTCACTGACCAATGAGCGGACAGGATGCTCCGTACATCTCCGAGCAAACATGGAGGAGAAGTTGATTGTTAGTTTTATATAGTAAAATCAGAAGTAAGATTTCACATAACTCTAGCAGCACCTTGTGAAACATCATATCTACCGCTTTTTTAACTCTGAACCACTTAAATAACCTTAATTCCCTCCAACCTGACACAGCCAAACAAAACAACGGAAGTTTCGATTTCGCCATGGAACAGAACGCGTAGACGGCTTTGCCGCTGGCCGCTGGCCACGGATCGCCTCCCGTGTGACAGGTAATAAAAACGACAGCGACAAATTTCGCTGATCGCGGTCGTTTGTCGCCTCCCGTGTGTCGAGCCCATAATAGCCGCTTAGAGACGGAGCAACATGTCGCTAGCATAGCGGCTAATCGCTAGCATAGCAGTTTGACCAGTTATATCAATATAAAGATATAAAGTCATCTTGTTAAAAAATTATACCGATATTCTAAAAATATCGATATATCGTCCAGCCTTACTCCTACATATCGGCAATAGAAAAGCCAGTATCGGTCGACCTTTACTCTCTAATGCTTTCAGAAATGTTGAACATGTTGGAACTTTTGGTTTCCTTGATTTTCTTTTTCTTTACAAAAACATGAATGCTGCTTGACGTCAACATTTTACTCACTGAAAATAAAAATGATGTTTTGAAAACTCCATTTTCTATTATCATGTTTGGTTTTTACTCACCAAGCTCCAATTTCTTTCAGACAACATTAAATAAAGAATGAAAAACTAATTTATTTTTCTGCTTCTCCTCTCAAAGGCATCAATGTCCAGGTCAGACTACCCCCCAGCCTACGATGACTCACGTGGCCCTCTCACTGGGCCTCAGGGCGGGGGCTACCCTCCAGCACCGCCGGCGTACGGCTTCCCCAGCTTCGGTGGTCTTCAGCCAGGCCAGCCCCCTGCTCCCTACCCTGCTAGTCCAAATGTCCCTCTGTACCCGGGCCAGCCAGGGGGATATCCTCCCGGTCCTTACCCAGGACAACCTCAACCCTCTGGGCCTCCAGGTCCAGGCTACTACCCTCCTCCTCCCCCCATGCCTCCTATAATCCCTCCTACCATTCCATCAGATGTCCTGAACTCAGGTGAGACCCATGAACCCTTGGCCTCTAGCGGGGTTAACAAATCTAAGTGAGCGTGTGTTTGTGATGATTAATAAAACAAAGGAAAACCTTTTTGTTTTCAGTGAAGATGATCCCTTTATCAGGTGCTTCTCTTTGTAGTTTCTGATCATTTTTCCGTTTCCTTGGCAATACAGGTGATGATTTTGCAGCAAGTGGCAGCGGCTGGGACAACCTGAGCATTCGACACGCCTTCATCAGAAAGGTAACGCGCAAAAAATGAATTGGATTCAAAAACATTTATCTTTTCGAACAAGGTGAACTATTAAACTGTAATTAGTGAGGAAATATTTTCATAGAAAGCTAATGTTTAATATTATACGTGAATTTTCACTGATTGAAATGAACATGTTCTTCATGCAGACCCATTGCTGACTTCAGTTTTACTTTCCACCCGTGTGGTTCTAGGTTTATATGATTTTGGCGTCTCAGCTCCTCCTCACCACCGCCATCGTGGCCATCTTCACATTTGCGTGAGTATTTTATCTTCCACAGGTTTATTTGTAAGAGACGAGCTGCGAATGTTAAGAACCTAAATGCTAACTCTGGTTCTGTTAATGGTTTCTGGTTCCCAGTGTCCCTGTTAGGACATTTGTTCAGAGGAACCCGGCCGTTTACTGGGCATCGTAGTAAGTCTCACCTCAGTACCACTGTTGCATTGACCTAAAGGTGAATTCAGATGCATTTCTACATCAATGCTTTTGTTTTGTATTTTAAGTGCCATTTATTTCATCACCCACATAGTGCTGGTGTGTTGTAAGGGCCCACGGTGAGAGAAACACAAATTTCACTTCTGATGACTGTCGTGTTTTTATTTATTACTAAAACAACTTTTGTTTTTCAGGAGGAAGTTCCCCTGGAACGTCATTCTGCTGCTCATCTTTGTAAGTTCTTCTTGTGAAATGTGGCCTCAGAGCTAAAGATGTCAGCAGTGAGTCGTCACAGTCAGCTGTTTGCATCAGACACGGTCGGGTCAGCTCAAACAGCAAATTTATGCAAATACACAGATTTATCTTTTCTTCTTTGCTGTTTTATCATTATGCCAAGTAAACTGTTTCCAGTTGTTAAACTTTTGGACCCAACAGTGTCCTTTAAGACTTGAGTATATATATATATATATATATATATATATATATATATATATATATATATATATATATATATATATATATCTGTATATCTGTGATGCTCCAATTAAAGGTGTGGTTGATGATTTTGGAAAGCGCTGTTCAAGATAAAAAGGACACCGGAGGCAATGGATACGGTCAAACAATTATAAAAACGTGACCTCATAGGTGAAACTAAAAATGAGAATATGCTGCAAAAATTCATTTATTTCAGGAATCCAGCTAGGGCTGGGCAATAAATTGAAAATTTATCGTTTACGATATTTCTGACTCTTATTGAGATAATTTTTTCCCATGTCAGTAAATTCGATAATAAAAAATGAATAGATGTGTGTAGGTTGGCAACGAAGCTGTACCACCTTGAGTCACGTAAAAATGTGACTCTACGTAATACATGTGACAGCCCCATCTAGTGGACAACTTTTATCACTGCACATACCTGTAGTTATCGTCCATTTATCGTTATCGAGGTGAAATCCTCGATATATTACGATATTTATTTTAGGCCATATCGCCCAGCCCTAAATCCAGCTCAGACTGAGAGACCATCTAAAGGCTCGGGAACCCTTTGCAGGTGTTCTGGATTCATCAGCTGATTAGTGTGACACCTTTTCACAATATTGTCATTATATGAGATTTTAAATGTGGGGTTTTCATCAGCTGTAAGCCATAATCATCACAACTTTGCATTCATATGTTACTTTCACCTTTTAAGATAATTACTGGAATAAATTAACTTTTGCACAATATTGTCATTTTTTAGAGTTTCACCTGTACACTTTAGAGTCATTGGCATCTTTTCTATCATAATTCACAACATAAGAGCTACATATCCGTATTAAAGTTAGCTAATTTAATGTGAGAAAACTCATTTCAGCCGCTTGCACCCGCGATCTCGTTCTTTCGGTCACTACACAAAGCTCACAACCACAGTTGAGGGTCGGAACATAGATCGACCGGTAAATCGAGAGCTTAGCCTTTCAAGCATTCTGACCATTTTTAGTAACTATAAATAATTTCTTGTTTTTTCAGACTCTGGCTTTGTCCTACATGACTGGCACTATATCCAGGTAAAATACGAGAAAGAAAAACTCCTAAATAACCTGATCGTTTTTACAGCCTGTCTGGTTTTGGTTTCAGTTACTACGACACCAAAGCTGTGTTTCTGGCTCTCGGCATCACCGCAGTCGTGTGTATCGCCGTCACAGTCTTCTGCTTCCAGACAAAGGTGTGTGTGTGTGTATGCAAGTCTGCAACTGCTGCAGTGTGTTTCTTCAGTAACCATTTGCACGTTTGAACTTCCAGGTGGACTTCACCAAGTGCCAGGGCCTTTTCTGTGTCCTTGGGATTGTGGTATTTGTGACTGGAATCATTACAGCTATTGTGCTTTCCTTCAAATACGTGAGTGAGAGCTGATCTCAGCAAGCAACACTAATTCATCGGCCACAGCCCCTCTAGTTTCTGTTTCCAAACTGCTGTGTGTCCTTACAGATCCTGTGGCTTCACATGCTTTATGCAGCGATCGGAGCCATAGCTTTCACTCTGGTGAGTCATTTCCTACAGAGCCGAGTTTCAAAGTGTCCCACACGCCTTCTTTTTTAAACATACTCTTGCTTTTTCTTTGCGTTCTGCAGTTCCTGGCATACCACACACAGCTGCTGATAGGAAACAGGAAGCACTCGATCAGTGAGGAGGAGTATGTGTTTGCTGCTCTCTCGATCTACGTCGACATCGTCCAAATCTTCTTGTTCCTGCTGCAGATTATAGGAGCTGCTACCAAATGAAACTTTCAGCGTGCAAACTGGGTCAGCTGGGGGCTGTGGCGCATCAAGCTGCCGTCTCTACTTTATTTTCATCTCCTTTTCCAGGAAAAAAAAATACATTTTTCTAATCAGGGAACACATCTAAGGGCTGAGTTTGAGATTAGACCTATACTCCAAAAAGCACGTTTATACTTTATCTAATGGGACTAGAGTGTCAGCTGTCGTTTCTCCTCTACCAGGGATGAACATTATTCTCAGCTTACTTTATATCACACAGCTCTAAATAATTCCTTGGTGGTTCGGAGAAGAGGTCTGCTTTATGGCATGAAGACACTTCTGTGCATTTGTTAGTGTTCAGTCAGATTAGGGAGTGTTTCCCAGCAGGGCGGAGATTTTTCCACATTACTGGGATTTAAGTTCAAAAGCCGCACCCTGCTGGAGCGCCACGCTTCTTTACGTATAAACAAGCCAAAGATACACAGAGCCTTTATTCAGACAGACGGGATAAAAAGCAGAGAGGTGAAACGTTGTAAATACATATTATTAGAATCTGTTTGACTTTTTAATATTAAACTTTTTCTTGAGTCTCCTGGTTCACGTTCCTTTTATTAAATAAATCTTCCCCATAAGTAGTCCTCACTCAGGAGTCCACGCCTAATAACTACCACGCTGTGCGTCACTGGTCCAGTTTAGAGCGGCGTTCCTGCTGCAGATAGCGACTCCCTTCATATTCGCCCTCATTCGATTGTTTCATCCTCTGTCTGATCTTCATCTGCTTCAGACGGTTTTTGTCCACTTGTCTCTTGGCGAGGAGGAAACCGACGATGCCAGTAGGTAGGCCAATCATCCTAAACCGAGAGGGGAATGCTTCAGTTAATAACCAACATCACGCTATGTCTTTTTACTCATTGTGAACATTATCCATATAAACTTCACGTCAGATCAGGAAATAGATGTGTAGTTCGTTCAGGCTGGAGAGCCACTAGGTTGGTGTTCTGATTTGATTCAGATATCCTAAAAAAAACTGCAGCAGAAATAAATAACATGATACTTTTCACAGAGCTGGAGCTTCACAAATGATCAGGGACGTGTTTCCGCTGTTGAGGTAATTTCTATGATGACATGCGTCCAGTTTAGGACAGAAGGTGCACAGCGAACTGGGGCAGATGTTTTAAAACAGTTTGTTTCTGAACTAAAGTCCACAAAAACTGTTTAAACAGCTGTTTCTGCTGAAGGTGTAGTCAACAGCAGGAACCGTTAGCAAACACTCGTCTGCTTCTGCAGGCACTGATGTTCAGGAGGACAAAACACTAAACTAGAGATAACTTTCATGGATGTTTGATCACAGAGAAAGCTCCTCGCCAACATTAATAAATACATGCTTCCTGAACTGAGATGGTTTATTGTTTTTTGGTGTTGTTGAAAGATCATCAGCTCCAAACAGAGATGAGCATTTCTAACCCTGCAGCAGAAAACCAAATAAGGTGATGTTTGATGTTTAACAGTGAACGGTGAGCTTTTTTAAATGTCTACATTTGAACTCATGGCAGTAATCAGTTGCTCCTGTAGCTAAGATGACAGTTTCTCTGACATCTCACTTTCCTCGACCACAGGGCTTCAAATACAGTAAAATATGTTTGGAGAACTTGTGTGTGCATCCCTTTGTAGGTAGAAGCTCCTGCAGCACTAGGAGGAAGCAACTTCCATAATAAATAAAAACTTTGGATTGATCTCCTGAAGCTGATCTTATAGAAATAAAGCTAGAAAAGAGTTAATGTTTCATGTAGCTCCAGCCCACTGAAGCAGCCTAAAAGTACGTCTCCAGCTGTGGGTTTGAGACGGAGCCCGGTGTTCTCATCGCAACAAACCAGAACCATGCGGTTTGCTGCAGAACAGAAGGAACACGTCCGATGTTGGACCATTCATGCAGATGGGAGGGTGCATGCTCACCAGGCGTAGCCGATCTTCATCATGGGGTTCCGGGCCTTTCTCCTGGGAATGTACTCTATCTCCTCCTGCTCCTCGGCTCTGACGCCAGCGGAGCCCCCTGTCCGGTCACTCTGCTGCGGCTCGGTCCTGGAGCTCCACAGCCCGGCGGAGGACTGAACATGTAGCCGGGAATGACGGCACACTGTTGGGGTCTGAAAGCGATGCGTGAAGAGAAACCGACAGGTGGAGAAACCTGAGGGACGAATTTAAGCCTTAAATCACCTTTTTCTTCCATCGCTTCCCCGCCGGTTAGTTTACCGGAAACGTGTTTGAGTAAACGTCCAACAACGAAACCCTAAATATTTATAGGTTAATTTAGCGTTCGACACGTGGAATTTAAAGCTAACTTGGTGGCTTCAGCACGTGAGTTTACGTTTATCGTGTTTTTTACCTGTTAGGGTTGCTCGGACTGCTGTCAAGCGGGGCGCCGCCATGTTTGTCGAATAACACAAAAACAGACATGCGCAATACCTCTTCATCCAGTCAGCCTGCTGCCCCCGGTGGACAGTGCTGGTATTACGTTATTTACCCAAAAACAGGATCAAAACCACGTGTTTACATTAACATTTTATTGAGTAAACAAGCGTACACTTCCTGTCACCATATTACAAAACCAGCAACAAGTGGAAACCATCTTATTAGAAAGTCATCACACAGTCCAGAGGTTCTACTGACTCATAACAGTCAGTGGAGCAAACTACACAAAGCAGCGTATTTACATCTCATCTTTTAGGAGCCTCCATAGTTCATCTTTGTACAGCAGGGGCCACCTCCAAAAGATGGTCTAACAGCATCTCCAAAGTCATGCGATCTTCAGCAGAACACCATGAACATCCAGAGCAGATGGTTTAATCCTCCAGGATGTAGTTGGGATTAACGACCAGAACAACGTCTTCCTCTGTGCTCTCAGCCTCAGAGCCCTTTAGTCCAGCCTGAGACAGCTCGATGAGGATGTGATCCTACAAAGACACAAACGTTGGTGTGAGCGGATTAAACTTTAATCGAACGTTGATGGAAATATCCACCGAGCGCAGACTCACGTAGTGGACCAGCCTCTGGATGACCTTCTCTATCAGAGCCTTCTTATTGATCAGCTCTTCCTCAGAGTCGATATCTGACTCGATCTCCTTCAGATACCAGTTTATCACTGCATTTTTCCTCAGCTCCTCCTCTTGATCGGCTGAAAAGGAGAAAAGTCCAGTTTAGCTGCAGCTTTAGACAAAAGGGAGTAGGAGGACCGCCTCTTACCGTCCTCTGTTCTGCGCAGATGCAGCACCAACAGGTTGGAGATGCGTTTGTACTCGGCAAAAGACAAACGCAGAGAAGGTTTGGGTTGGCTGTCATGCTCCGCGTGACCATTCACGCCACTGGCATGACCATTAATCCCATTAACATGATCGTCGACACCATTTGGTACATTGTTGACTGCAGATGAAAAACTGTTCAGTGAAGATCTACAGATCATCAGCAGCAGGGTGTGCATACAGATAACTCCTCATACCTTCCTCCTGCTGCTCCTCGTCCTCAAATTCATCCTCCTGATCCAGGTTGATGTCGGGCGTCTCCACTCGGATGATGGACTTGTTTAGGAGACGGAAAGCTTCCTTCACGTGTTTGGGCTGCACCTGGAGACGAGGAAACCATCATTGGTGCTTTTCATATTCATCTTTTTTCCAGATCATGTCCACACCAGTCATCTGCTGTGTCTTGACGCCGCTTCCTGTCATTTGACACTTTCTGTAAACATGAGCCAAACTGCTCTGTCCTGGTCCAGTCAGCTCCTCCGTCTACGTCGTACCTCATCACAGCAGTGCATGCGTGCCATGGCCTCAGACAGGCGGATCATGCTCTCCAGCTGCCGCACCGTAATCCTCCAGGCGGATTTGGACACGCTCCCAGAGCCGTCGCGCTGACGCAGACGCTTGTACTGCTCGACAATGAACTCCTCAGACTCACCGGAGATCTGCCATGACATCATACACAGACACACACAGACACACACACACACACACACACACACTGCAGCTTTTACACTCAGTCAGTCCAAAACAGTCACCTGATAAATGTAAGGCCATTTAAAATCAACACCAAGTGGTTTTTAACATTTTAAGCTATTGCTTTGAAACTGGTTTTAGTGGTTCTTAAGCATCTTCATATTGGACAGCACCCAGTAGCCCTCTGCTGACCAGAAACTCTACCAGGGGCAGCGTTAGGCCCAGCTACTTGGGCTGAAGCCGCGGATGTTTCATGAAAAGCCCCGGATCAAAATTGCAGAAGTAACATGCAGTACCAAAGTCCAACAGAGAGGGAGCAGCTGGCAGTAGTTTGTATACAGCCTGTCTGAGCCTCCACCACTGAAGAAGAAGCCCTTCAGCAGCCGGCTTCTTCTGCACTCTCTGCCTGAAACGCATGAGTGAAGATGGACATAAGGACGTTTTTTAGACCAAAAGTACGGTGACAGAACCCCAGCTTTGATGAGACTGGTGCTGACTCAGGTTTGTGAGTCTTATTTGAAAATATTTGTTGTGCTGCTGGTTTGCCTAAAGTTAGCTTATCAGGTAAAGTTGTTGGAGAAAGAACGGGAATATTTACTATCATCTCACACTAAACACTAACAGGAACAATACTCTGCCCTGAAAATGCTTAATATGTAGCTTCAGATTAAAAATTATGTGGTACAAGACATATATGGTGTTGACTAATGCGTGTCATGTGTGTGTGCGCGCGTGTGTGCGTGTTAAGCCCCGGATCTTCTTCGGTCCTTAATCCGCCCCTGAACTCTACTAAACCGTTTTGTGGTTCAGGTAGGAACACTAGAGGGAGGTTTCTACCTGGTTTATGGCAAAAGCGGTTTACTGTTCTGGTAGCCAATATAAAAGCTAGCAGTTAGTTGTTTTTTTTTTTGTTGGCATCATGGCGGAGCCTGGAAATAAAAGTGAGAGGATTGTTTTTAGAGGCGGAGCAAAGCGCTAAAACCAGAGTGAAAATGGGTGTGGCCTACATGACATCACAGACTGATGGTGGACTTGAAAGGAATATATTTTTTGACCATATGTGTGGACTTTTTCCCCCGTGACTCGCGTAGTATCGGCTTGTGTTAGCTGCAGTGGGGTTTAGGAGGGTGCTGCTTGAAACCTAGATACTTTTATTGTAGCAGCTTTATTCTGGAGTACTTCCTGTTTTTATTTAAAACACACACCTTGGGTTTAAACTGCCGAGCAAAAAGCAGGTATCTGCGGATTTCATCTAAGGAGTACAGTCTGTCCACGGACTCCTCCACCCGGGAGTGCAGGTCCACGATTCTCCTGGCGATGGCGTAATCTGTGACCTGAGATACACACGGGTAGATAAATGATCACCTCCATCAGATCCTTGGTTACTACAGCATGGAGAAATCACACAAACACACACACACACACACATTTTCCCTCCGTGTTGTGTGTTTCCGTACCTCATTACACTCATCCACCAGGATGAAGAAGAGGTCGAAGCGGCTCATGATGGGGGCGGTCAGGTTGACGTTCTGCTTCAGGCTCTTGCTGCGGTCGTAGCGCCCGTTGACGGGGTTGGCAGCAGCCAGGATGGACGTGCGTGCGTTCAGAGTAGCCTGAACAAACAGAGGAGATTATTTTCCAGAGGTAAAAACTTGAACAGGTGAGGTGTTCCGGGCTCAGCTGGACGGTGCTACCTTGACTCCAGCCTTGGTGATGCTGATGGTCTGCTGCTCCATGGCTTCATGGATGGCCACCTGGTCCTTTATGTCCATCTTATCAAACTCATCAATGCAACAAACTCCCTGAACGCAAACATCATTTTAGACACATTAAGAGCAGAGACAGATTTATTTATTTATTTTTTTACTCACGTTGTCCGCGAGCATCAGCGCTCCAGCCTCGATGACAAACTCGTGCGACTCCTCATCGCGGACCACAGCCGCCGTCAGACCTGCAGCGGTGCTGGCCTTTCCGCTGGTGTACACCGCTCTGGGACTGAACTCCTCCACGTGCCTGAACACAGATCCAGTTAGTCGGTGTGATGGAGAGAAACCGTCTGATGGGAGGAATCAACGTTCCATACTTCAGGAACTGGCTCTTTGCGGTGCTTGGGTCTCCGACGATGCAGACATTGACGTCTCCTCTCAGGGAGGTTTCCTCCATCGTTGTCTTGGGAACGCCTCCGAACAGCATCAGCAGGATGCCGCGCTTCACCTCATCGTTGCCTGCATGACCAATGACCAGAACGTCTAATTAAAGGTTCTAGCTGGGGGTAGTGGTTGGGGAGAAGACGCAGGAGGTGGGGTGGCTGACCGTGGATGGTGGGGAAGAGGCTGGTGCACAGGTTGTGGTACAGGTTCTTGTCCTGGCTCATCTCAAACACCTTCTCCCACTCCTTCTCAGTCATCTGGCTCTTGATGCTTTCAGCGGTTTGTTCCTCATCCCGTAGCTCCTTCCCACCAAACTACAACCCAAACAAAGGTCAAAGTTCCAGCTGTCCCTAGGGATGGGTACCTTTGACATTTGAATCGATCCGGTACTAATTCCCGGTACCTACGAATCGATACCGGTACTTAACGGTACCAATTTTCAATACTTTTGAGTGTTTATTATTTTAAATCTCTTTTATAATTAAATATATATTTTTCTCAATATAGAACCATATTTGATAAATATCACGATAAATAACATACAACTGTTTGTATTTTAACATCGTCCTTGTAGTTTTATAAGCTGATAATTAAACTGAAGCAAACATCTTTACTGTGAACTAAATTTACTGTGTATCTTCATTCCTTTTGCCGTCTTTTTTCATTTGATTTTTCCTACTGGGAAGTTAGAATTTCCGAGGAGAAAGCGAACGCACCATTAGCTGATAACAACGGTGGCAATGGAAGCTAATTTATCAAGCTAACGTTATCTTAAACTGTTTATTTAACTGCTGGAGCAGATTAAAACGATGATGCCTCACACTTAGATCGTTGTCGCTGGTTTCGTCTTCACCCGTCGCATTTAGTAAAGTGAAGCCAAACTTTAGAGCGCGTTCATGTTCTTCTAGTCGGGAATTCAGAGTTCCGAGGAGAACGCGAACGCACCATTAGTGAAACGGAAGCTAACAAATCAAGCTAACGTTATCTTAAACATTTTATTTACCTACCGGAGCAGATTAAGATGAGGATGTCTCACTTAGATCGTTGTCGCTGGTTTCATCATCACCCAGTTACCCATCACATTTAGTGAAGTGGACCCAAGCTTTAGCGTGCGTTCTTTCTACCATGCTGCTCTGTTTACAACTCGCTCGCAGCGACTGACGACATAACGCTCTTGCGCATGCGCAGCTGTCTAGGCAAGTTCTCGTTGTGAAGGACGGGTACCGAAACGAGGCACCGTTTCAAATGAAGTGAATCGGTGCTCGGTCGGTACTATGGAATTCGGTCGGTACCTTAAAAAGTACCGAATTCGGTACCCATCCCTAACTGTCCCACGTGCATTAGAAGAGCCTGCTGCGCTTTAGCTGCACTGAGGGTTTCTTACTCGTGGGTTGGTTGGGGCCACGTTGCAGGCCAGGAAAGCCAGCCTGTACGACAGCTCTCTGACTCCCAGAGCTTTCAGTCCTCTCAAACCCTCCGACTCGAAGCCCTGAGGACCTCCAGGTACACGGGTGCTGGACTCTGCTCGAACACCTGAGGAGATCACACCCAAACATCAGCAGAGAATAAAATCCCCTGATCCAAGACCTGTTTGGGAATCTAAAGCCACACCAGGAGTGCTGAGCTGAGAGACGTCCGGCACCACGATGAGGGTCCCGGTGAAGTCACAGCGGTCTCCAGCCTGCGCCATCTCCACAGCCTCTGCCCTCAGAACGATCTCGAGTGACCGTGGGATTGAACCTCGAGGGAGCTCCGCCTGCGTCTCCTGGATACGCACCTGAAGAACACGAGTATCAGAGCAAGTCGGACACCTGCCGATACCGCTTCGAAAACACATCGGTCCTACGCGTTACCTTCTGAAAGTCGATGAACTTGGATTTGTGGGTGTCGAGGTGGAAGCGGGAGCGATTGTTGCAGACGGTGTTCCTGCAGATGGTTGGAGGGGAGTATTTGAACTGCTGAGGGACATCTTTGATCACTGCCTGGCAGTCCATGCACAGGAAGGTACCGCTCACCTGAAAACGCAAAGCAGGTCACAATCAGAGGTCATTAACCTCTACGCCGTCGTCTCTGTAGCGGGCTATCTCACCAGCTCAGGGTGGACCGGGTGAGTCCTCACCACCTGACCACTGATCTTCACCAGGGTGCCGATACGCATGGAAGACAGCTCCCGGATCCTAGATTACACACACGCGATCGCATCTGACGTTCTGCTGCATCTTTAAGTAGAAGCCAGCTGGTTTGGGATTATTCTGCATCTTACTTGTGTCTGGTGGGAAGCTCCTCGATGGCCACGTAGAACTCTTTGTTGAGAGGAACGTTCCCGTGATCTCGCGCAAAGTTGCGTACAGCCCGGCAGAGGTAGGGATACACCCTGACAACAACAGATTAACACAGATTAAATCTCCCAGAATCGTACAAACCAATGCTACTGCGGTTGTGTCGGCACCGACACAAAATAACTCTTCAACCGTTTACGCAATCAACGTGATTCTAACGGATTCTGAAAGCTGAGACTCTACGCTTTCAGTGGTATACAACACATTACGGTAATGACACGCAAGTCCCTGCCCAAGAACCAGAAACTGATCACACTTCCTAGAGGAGCAGAGGAATTGTTTTCGACGCACATTTTCAACTTCTACCTCTTCTACGGATATAAATAATAAATATTCTTGGTAAATATCTTACTTTATGTTTGTATATGGTAATTTTAGGATATATTTGGTAATTTTTGACATCGTCTAGCCGTGTTTGTACTCGTTTTACCACTGTAACGGAATGAAATGACTGTTTTCCACCAAAAGTAATTTCCCCCTCTCCTCTGACACAGAACTAGTCTGCATGAGATATGGCCTCAAGGTCTCATGCATTTGTTATAAACTGCTTCTTTCCAGCTCAAGAGAAGAATGAAGAATGGAATCTCTCTTTGTAATAAATAAAATAACTCTATTTTAATAAAGCTAATCAAGCAAAGTGTTAGTCAATAATGAGAAGTGACCAATCTGTGAAATCAAAATCTTAATTACTTCATTATAATCCTATAGAATATAATAAGTAATGTGACTTTAAATGTTTCCACTAGGACTGATCTCACAGCGTTAAGACATGACACATTACTGATCCAATCAGAATCTGCCAGATCTGACGGCGGCGTGGTTTTGGTGGTGTTTGGTAAATCTGTCATCTTTTCATTTGACCATAAACCAAAACATCCGAAGTATAAAACTATGCCCACGTCATCTTTAACGCCAGTTCAAAGCGTTCTAGAGAAGTTGTCGGAGTGACCAATCCGTAACTTTCCTCTTCAGCCAAAAGAACCAACGACAAGCTGGATAAAATCTGTTGCTGTTCCAACTGCTGCAACAGTTCCTTTCAGAATAAGAGCTGAACCATCACAACCCGGGTTTGGTTCTCGCTAGATGCCAACAAAACTGTCGTGACCCAGAAGTATCTCAAAGACTGGTCTGGTCGGCAACCGCTGCTTTTCCTACCGGTTTCGGTTCCAGAGAGGGTCCAGCTGGACCTCGCCATTCCTGATCTAACGGGGACTTCCAAAAGGGTATGTAGGCTGACGAAATGGCGTCGAATGTGTTTATGAATCTCAAGAACTAATCGCTTCTTCGGATTTGCTGGTTCTGAGCAACATTCCACACTACACCATTCTCCGTCTCATTCACCTTAGTTACACCATACATTTAGTGTTTAAGTTAGTCTAGTTTAATTTGTTTAGTAATAAATCTTTAAATTTTAAACTAGACTCTCTCTTCTGTTGTCTCTGAGTGAATACGAGGTTGTTATCTAATCTCTGCAATAAAAAGCTCCAATCTTCTGGTTAAAGACCCACAGATCCATAAGATTGATTTCATATTTACTATGGTATCCTATGTCTTACGGTTTATTAAATAACATGTAATTTAACTCATTACACCACCTGTAGTTCGTTTTTTTATCAGCTGCGTTTTTCACGGGGGCTTTTTATTATTTTATTAAGATTCGTTTTTCTAAATAATGAAAGAAAGAGGAAATTTCCCTCAAAAGTTGTTGATGAGGAGCAAGATGTGCCCACATCGTTTTTCCGTCACAAACACCGTAAGCATCTCTGCATTAAATATTTTCCACTGAACACGTTCCAGTTTTTGTTGTCCAGTATTCCTGCTAATACTATTACTATACTATTATACTACTACCACTACTTCCAGGAAACCAAAACCTCCATGTACATCTGTGGTTGAGGATCCGGGTGTGAGTGAAGATGATTTGCCATCACAGCTGCAGTAAGTTTATCTACAGTTCAAATATATTTCTAGCTTTAGTTCTGTATTATTATTATTTTTTTTTTCAGTTTTCATTTACCAGTATTTACTGCTTGAATAAATATGATATAATTTGATATCTTTTTTATTTTAGAGATTCTTCTGATGAAGGGCCATCCACCAGCAACAGGCAACGTCAGAGACAAGATCTTGCTGGAGATGCTCCACATCTTCTGGACTCCTGGACAACAAAGTCAAACCCAGGTACCGTCGACCCACGACACCCAGATTTATTCCCAGAAGAAGCCCTGGCTATCAGCTTCCCCTCAGGGATGAAACAGGTACAAAAACTCGGTGCAAAAATAAAAAACACTCCCTGGATGTGCAGAGTGTAAGACATGGTTTTATCTTCAGCAGGACAGGAATCGCTCTGCAGAAGACCACAGCAGCTAAAAACGCCCGAACACTACCGACAATATCACCTCAAACGCAGACACTGAAAGTTGTACATGTAAACAAATCAGTACATGTTGTGCTTGATTTCTGCTATTTCAGACTTTTTTATTCATGTACATTTGTTTTTTCTATTCAGAAATTTCTGAAGACATCCGTTTTTTGTTTTTTCTGTTATTACATACCTGCAAAATCTTAACAGATATTGAAAGCTGAGCTTGTCCTGAAAATGAGGTAAATGTTTTTGTGCGGATGGGACATTTTTTGACAGATTTATTAAAAGATAAACATAAACATGGCCAGGCGGACTTGAACAATGGCAGTACTACAAGGACTGGAGTGTTCAGCTGAACCTTTTCCAGAGAATGCATCATTGTGACGCTCAAACCCCAAACAGTTTACGTCACATTGTTCTGATCACATGAAAGAAATCCGTGTTTTAGAGATAATTTACGTATTTTTCAGTTTATTACCATTTTAAAAGTCTAAAGACGTTTTGGATTTTTGAAAAGAAGTTCCCCTTTGTCACGCGTGTTTGACCTGATCGGTTTTCAGGTCAAATCCAGCAGATGCCGCCGTGGCGTGGTTGTCCCACCTGTAGTACTCCTCCTGGATGGTGGTGGCCAGCTCCTGGTTGAAGCCCTCCAGATCAGTGAAGCTCACCAGCAGGGTGTTCCTCTCGGGCCTGATCAGCTCCTCTGCCTCCCGGACGTATTTCACCTCCCCGTCCCCGGTCTGAAATCTGATAACGGAAGACAAATCAAACACACCCAAGCAGCACAGAGCGGGTCCGTTTACTACCGGATAAAGAAGGTTATTAAACGCGGTAACACTTCTACGCGCACGCCGAGGCCGACTTACTCCTCTAAGAAAGCTTGAAACAACTTCTGGCACTTTTCCGCCAACTCGTCTTTCACCATCGTCCCGGCATTCTCCGCGGTTGCTGTAGCAACGTCCATGCTGCAGTGAGTGGGTTTATTAAATGTTGCTGGTAAAATTCCTGGACCGAACAGCTCGTTTCTCCCGGTGGTAATTCACGCACAGCAGCAGCACACTTTCCTCCAGACAACAGGGAGCCGTTTCGCGCGAAAAGCGAGACCACGTGAGGTTTGGCGCGCCGCTTTCGACCAATCTGTGCGTCAGGTCCAGAGTTTTCCGGTTTGTAGCCAATTAGGTGGAGGAACGTAAAATGACGCATGCGTTTTCCCGCGAAACGCTTCCTGTTGCTTCTTTGAGCCACCGGCTACAGCTTGTAGCACGGGGCGGGGAGGGGCACTGGCCACAACAATACCATATATGGAAACGGTATAATTGCTTTTCGGAACTGAAGGGGGCGCTAATGTCGAGCTACCTTTTGGAAAATCTTAACTGTTCATGAAACAAATATAATTCTAGGTAAACTATCGTAATTTCTATATTTTTGATTCATTAATAGTTACAGTTTATTACATTATTTTTCGTACATCGTTGTACTAAACATGACACAGCCAAAAATCATTTAAAACTATATTTTTTAATAATCTTCATCAAAGAATGACTGTGATTCTTCACACTTTTCACATCACTTAAATTTTTTTAAATTGGTGTGGTATTTTTGAAACGCCAGTGTCATTAGAAATCTCATCAGGATGATTTTTACAAGTGGCCTAGTTTTATACTATTTGTAGGAAACTGTAACCATTTGAGTTTGATGAGACTATTCATAGTATTTAAAACTGATATTTAAACCTAATTCCTCCAAAGATGTAACATCAGATCTCCTAAGTGTCACCTGTGTCTCCAGTTGTTCTGATTTAATTTTTTTGTTATTTTATCATGTAACCTAATGAAAAAAATGGGTAGATGTGTGTAGAAAACTTTCCATTTTAGCACAAAAGAATAACTTCCAAAAGGATGGCTCTGTTGAACAGCTGCTGAGAAAGACTTTTATGGATTTTAGTTTCATATCAATATAATTTCTAAAAACATGTGAAACTCCAAAAATTAGAATGTTGCCCATTAATTTATTTTAGTAAAAGCAAAACCAATTGCAAAGTACTTATGTCTGACAATTTTCTATTTAAAAGCAGTGTTGGATTTTTTTAATGTAATATTCTAATCGTCAGAATTTTTGAATGCAGAGCTTTCATCATCTGTAAGCCATAATTATCACAATTATAACAAATAAAGGCTGAAATATCTGGCTTTGTATGGAATGAGTCTTGTTATTGAAATAATTCAACTTTTTCACTATTCTCATGTTTTGAGTTTTACCTGTAATTTGATTTTGTATTAAGTTCGAGTCATTTTTATATAAACTGCAACCAATTTTTCAAGAAACTTTATTCTCAAACAGAGGAGCAACAGGAAATTGTTTTAAAAAATCTAAACAGCAGCAGTTCTTTTCAACATTACAAAAAAAAAAAATACACATTTGAGTGGACTTGCTGCAGAAATGTTTCACTGGACTATTTGGCAATGTTAGAACATTTGAACATGCTCAATGCTGACAGCCAGGGCAGCGCCCAGGTATCCCACCAGAGTAATAGCGAGGGTACTTTCCTCTTCGTCCTTTTGCCGTGAAGCCCACACAGTCTTTGTATAGACCGTTGCAGGAAGAGCATCTTCCCACGGTGAACGGAATCGTGTGCTCAAACTTGAAGGTTGCAGAAAAGCTTCTCCAGTGAATCTCACCTATTAACAAAATAATAATTAAATTAAGCCAATTAAGCCAATTAATTTACATCATTGGTCATTTATTACCATCCAGCCAGGCAAAGTGGGCGACGGTGGCACAGGAGTTAGGTGCTCGCCCCATAATCGGAAGGTTGCAGGTTCGAGCCCCGCTCAGTCTGTCGCTGTCGTTGTGTCCTTGGGCAAGACACTTAACCCACGTTGCCTGCTGGTGGTGGTCGGAGGGACCGGTGGCGCCAGTGATCGGCAGCCTCGCCTCTGTCAGTGTGCCCCAGGGCAGCTGTGGATACATTGTAGCTCATCACCACCAGTGTGTGAATGTGTGTGTGAATGGGTGAATGACTGATTGTGTTGTAAAGCGCCTTGGGGGGTTCCAGGACTCTAGAAGGCGCTATATCAAATCAAATACAGGCCATTTCTTCCTAAAAACAGGATCTGAAACAATGGTGTTGAGGTGTTTGCAGGTCAGTGCCAGTGACAGGTAAGCTGCATCTCCTTCTGTTAGGATCACCTCCAGGAGCACAGCTTCAAGCACAAGAAGCGGCATCTATGAAAACAACACTGTTGGGTTAAAGTTGAGTAAATGGAGGTCTAACTGGTCCACCACCACTGAGAACTACATCTCCCAGAATGCACCAACAACACCTATGCAGGGTGGTGGCTCTCAATCCTCAGTCAAACAGGAACAGCACAGCAAGCTCTAACAATGAGTTGACTCTAAAGATGCCAATGGTTGGTAACTATTGTTTTGTTTATGATATGAAGTTGTTTTGGGTGACCTTTAAAGTCATGCTTTTAATTTAATCGTTTACACTGTTAGTGTGGGAAGATTTAGTTTAGAAAGTTCTTTGTTTATTGTATTTTATATAAATTATGTGACATCTAACACTTGTCTCTGTTCTTTGAAGGTTATCAACCTAATGTTCACTGAACTGACATAATAAAAATTGTTGGAATGTGATGGAGTTGTCCCAAAGTGTCCCTTTAGAGTGAAACTAGTGTGGAGCTTGACAAACACACATGTGCACCATGAGACTGTCATAAAATTACAAGACAACATGAATATGAGTGAGTCTTGCCTGTAAAATTGGCGGTGTCCTTTGTATCTGTATCTGCAAGACCATAAAACAACAACACCAAATTTCTCAGTGTTGTTCCTGACATAATTTCAAACATAATACAAAATGCTGTTCTAAAGAAGTATTATTTCCAGTTAAAGAAACATTTTGGTGGTTTCCGTTTTATTCAGTTCAACTTTAAAGGAGACCGATAATGCTGTTTATGAGCAATCTAAAACGCTGTTTTGAGCCTCTAAAAGGCAAAAGAAATTTTCTTTTGGCTTTCATCTGTTCCAGGAGCCCTGATAGAGACCATTCTAAACCCTTTATTCAGATTCTTGGTCTCCTGAAAAGTAAATATAAATGACAATTCTTAATTATGCATGCTGTGAACTAGGAGACTAACCTCAGGTTCTTCCTCTGTGGTTTTGGCATATGTGTGGTCTTCGGCACACGGAGGCTTGCAAAATATAAATGACTATTTTAAGTCAGTTCCAAACATCACTATTGCATTTACAAAACACAAACTTAGTGCAAATATACACTGAAAACACTTATAGTACCAATGAGGTGATCACAAACTATCTGAACAGTTCCACAGTCAGCCCTCTCTGCTGCCATTCCCTCTACTCCTCTCCGCTCTCTCTCTCTTTGTAGTTCTCTGGATCTGTAAACATGACAAAATAAAAGTCTTTAAACAAAGTAGCCATTGGTGTAATACGATGTAGTAAAGAGCATAGCGAGTTATTGTCCTTACTTCACCGGGAAGTTTCTTAAAAGGACTACACACCACCATCTCCTTATCTTCATCGTGTCCATCTGCAGGATATGAAAACCTACAATTTAGTGAACCAGTCCACCACCAAGCGTTTACTCTCATCAGTGACCTTACCTCACTGAAATCAAAAGATGCTCCCATCACAAAGTAGAATGCACACTATTGAGAAGAATGAAATTATTATAAAACCCAGAAAATAATATGATGATGATAATGAGAGTTACCATCACTGCAAATATTCCACAGTTGGACAATCCTTGTTTTGGCAATCCCTGTGATATAAAACATATGTTTATGTATTTAGCAGACGCTTTTGTCCAAAGCGTTTTACAAGTGATAATCGGCATATTGCCCTTGAGGCTAACAACAACAATAACAACAACAACTTGACATCAGTCATGGAGAGTAGGGAACAAGGAGTGGACAGTAGAGAGGGAGGACGGGTGCAGGGAGGGTGCTAGTTTAGAAGATGCTCTCTGAAGAGCAGGGTCTTCAGGAGTTTCTTGAAAATTGAAAAGGAAGCCGCTGTTCTGGTAGTGCTTGGAAGGTCATTCCACATTTGTGGAACGATGCATGAGAAGAGTCTGGATTGTCCTGAGCGTGGTGTAGGCACTGCTAGCCGACGATCCTGTGATGACCAGAGCAGCCGGGCCGAGACGTAAGCCTTTGCAAGAGGATTCAGGTAGATGGAAGTCGTACCGTCTCGGACTTTGTATGCTAGTGTTAGCAATTTGAATTTGATGCATGCTGCTAGTGGTAGCCAGTGGAGCTCAATGAACAGAGGGGTGACGTGTGCTCATTTTGGCTGGTTGAAGACCACGCACGCCGCTGCGTTCTGGACCATTTGAAGAGGTCTCACAGTACAGGCTGGAAGACCAGTTAGAAGGGCATTGCAGTAATCGAGGTGGGAGGTGACAGTAGATTGCACCAGGAGCTGGGTGGCATGTTGTGTTAGGTATGGTCTGATCTTATGTATGTTATACAGCGCAAAGCGGCATGAACGGGCAACAGAGGCAACATGATCTTTAACTTGATTTAATGTTAAATCAATAAATGTTACTTGGCTATAACTACAACTGACAAGGAGACACCCAGAACTGTTAAACAACGTATTTTCTAAATATCCCTACCGTTACCAACTACACCAAGGTAGCGTTAGCTGAAAACAAGCAGGACAGTGGCTCAGAACCACGCGTCCATCAACAACATCTCACCTTTGTCATTTGCAACATATTCTTTCCAGGGTCCAGGCCACAGATGATGAGAGATGGCTCTGTTGAGGGAATGCAATGCATAATGCAAAATTTGTTACGTACAAATAATTACGGGTATATTTCACAAAGAAAACAACTGGAGAAAAAATAAATGCATAAATGAACAATAAGAATGGTGTGAGACAGAACAGTCTCTGGATGGCTCAGCTTCAACCCGTGTCATGTAAAAAGGAAGCTGCATAACAACGTCAGGTGATTTGATGGGCGCCAATTAAATGTTATTCAGAAATTAAATTTCAAATAGCCAATTAAGTGAGGAACAAATTTTTTACACGCATAGAAAGATTAAAGCTGAACATTGTAATAAACAAAACCACAAAAAAAGGGACAGCA